TTGTGTAATACCTTTTGTGATTCGAAATCTCAAGTTCAACTCTTATAGAAAGGAATTTAATATGCTTTTGTGGTGGTTAGTTTATTTCTCTCCCATTATGGAGGTTGTGTATGCACACGCAGAATTAGAAATTTTCGAGAGAGTTGTTTTCGGAGGGAGTAGTACCAAATGGATAGGTGTTGGGGTGTTTTAGAATGTTATAGGAGGCAAAAAGTCAAAATTGTCCCCAATAGTGCCGGATAGGACCGGCCAGACAATTTCTTGTTCAACTGGACATATATTTGTCGGGGAGAAAGATTAAATAGCCGGTTGGATTATGTTGTGTGGGTAAACTCCTATTTTTGCGCAAATAGTCTCTGTTTCCATCTGAGGTGGAGAGAGTGCAGTATTATCAAGTTCATTTCAGCCTCAGAGGATCAATATGCAACGAAGAAAAGAGCCGTAGATTGTATGTAAGAGTAGTTGTATATAAACAAGAAAGTGAGGAGAGCTACGACCAGTTACCGTGATCTATATTTTACAACCTACATCACACTTTACAAGAGGGCTTCGTTGTACAAATACCCTAATACCATACAAAAGCTGTACAAGTTCATTTTCCCTTCTTGATACAAAATGAGGGAAAATGTGTTAAAAGGGGACATTGCCTTCAAACTGGGTAGGACTAAGTTACGGGAGCAGCACGACAATACCTCAGGAGATATTTAAACCCTCATGGTGAGTCCTCGTCACTATTGCTGCCACTCCACCTATCAAGGCTATCCCCAGATTTAAAAGACATAGCATCATCCCCGTCATCGCTGCTAACGATCATGTTAGGAGAGAGAGGCCGAAATAGCTCTACATTGTTCTACATCAAAAGAATCATCAATCCGAAAATCAAGAGCTATGGGATGTTTAAGGGGTTGACGTAATTTGAGGATTAGAGTGGTAACCTCATCAGAAAAGTCCAGAGAAGGAGAAGACAAGGGACTAGGAGGTAAGGACCCTCGTCCTCTACCTCTTCCTCGCTTATTACTGCCTCCCTGAGCACTGCTCTCGCCTAAGCTTTGACTGGGTTCGTACCAGTAGCTACGAACGCGTGTGTGACCTATGGCTTTCCTATAGCCTTGACCATGACTCTTACCGTGGCCTATGATAAGAGCAATGGCATAGATCAGCTCAACATTCATACCTCGAAAGGCAGCAATTGAGAAAACTCCTTCTCTTCTACTGGTAGAGGAGGAGGCTCCTTTATTTGACTTGGGAGACATTGTTGACCTAACCGGGAAATCAGAAGTATGGGGGAGAAGAACATTATTGGCTACGGAGTGTGATCAAGAGTAGTCTGAGGAACATTGTTGGCTATGGGGAGAAGAACATTGTTGATCAAGATTAGTCTGGAAATTCGGTAAAATTGATACTATTATTTAAAATATAAAATAATTAGAGATTATTTTTATTATACATCGTGAAATATTGATGAAATAGAAAGTTAGCAAAATAATTTTTATAAAATTAAGAAATTATCCCATTTATATTTTTTAAATATTAAAATTATTAATAAATTGTAAAAAAAAAATGGAGGGGGTCAGTGCCTCTCTCAGCCGCTACACAGTTCTGCCTTTAGCCTTTAGTTGTATGGGATTAGTAATGATTGTTGGGTTTAGCTTTGTAAGTTTAATGGACTACTTTCTAATTATAATGGCCTAATGATTTGTTAGATGATCTAAATATTTTTCATAATGTATCACTCTACCATCTACTAAAAATTTTTTAAAAGAAAAAAAGAAAAAAGCTTCGATGTTATGAGTCTTACGATTAGGACTGGGCAAAATACCGCCCAATTCATTAAAACTGCACTGATTCATGTCCATCCGTCCAGCTCTAACCGCGGTTTAAACTTTAAAATTTATAATCTGCCAGCCGAACCGCTCCGCTCCGCTCTAGTTAATACATATATATTTTTAACTTTCAATGAAATATCAATGTAAAAATAAGTGTGAGAGAGATTTAAGATATGAAATTTATTACAAATTAATGGTTATATATATGAAATATATTATATAAAATTATTTCGTGTTATATATCTAAAAAATATAATATAAATTAATGTTATATATTATGTAAACATATGATAATTAATTAGAATATTCTTCAATCCGTCAAAAATTTTCCAAATAATAATTTGTCAATCCGCTAATCCGTCATTCAATTTATAATTTTACTTTCAAACTATCCGGATTGTACCGCGCACACCCCTACTTATGACCGTCTAAAAGGATGGTGAATATCAACTAAATGGCCATTTTTTCAATTTATAAATAATAATAATAATAATTGCTTTTGGCAAAAAGGTTGCCCTAGCAATATATGCTGTTGAGAAATCTGGCTCTTTTGGTTCATTTGAACCGGAACTTGATCTGTCAATGGTTCGGCCAATTGGCCAATTGGATTTCACAAACATTGCCCAGTACATGAAATAACAAAAAGAAAATATGTTTATTTTAAACTAGATTAAATCACCGATTCAATTAATCTAAGTTTTAGTCTGAACAAACCCTCAAATCCATTTTAAATGGGTAAAACAAACTAGTAATCAATCAGCTAAGTTGAAAGAGATAAACTAATTTGTAAATCTACTTAAATTGGTGAAAAACAGTTAAACAGACTATCCAAAAGTGATAAGTGTGCGAATAACTTACCCAGTAGCAAAAAAAGTCATTATTTGGGGATTCAAACATGTGACTACATGCATGATTTTCTTGTTATTTTATCACATGACAAATTTTATTACAAATGTTAAAAAAATTAACCAAAAAAAAAAAAAAAGAAGATTAGAAAAATATATGATTTTTTTAATCGCTGTCAAACAAAGATAAAGCTTATTAAGAAAGTTATTGTCATAGCCAAATTGTTTTAATCTTAAATAGCTAGAAAGTGATTAAAAAAACAGTAGCCAAATAATGCCTAAACCTTGCATTTGAATACTTTTCTTTTATTTTTCTCTTCAGAAATATAAAATTCAAAATTTGAACAAGGTGCAAAACTTAAAAAATTAGATGTTATATAAAATTATTCATAAATGAAAAAAAAAATTGATAAAAATTGCCAATAACAAATTGATCTAAACAAACTTAGTTCATACTATTAATAAATGGGCCTATTTTGGAAAGTGAGTTAAAAGTCACTTCTCACCTTTTAACCCACTTCTCTCTTTCAAAAAAAAGTTTAAAAAAAAGGTCAAAAAGTAACTTTTAATCATCTTCCCAAAACACCCTAATAGTGGTATTTTGGAAAGATGATATAAATATAACTTTTTGACTTTTTTTTTTTATAATTTTTTGAATTTTTTAATATAAAAAAGTAAAGAGATGATATGATTCAAAAATATCAAAAAATCGACTCTTTACGAGCTTACCAATACACTCCATATATATATATATATATATATATGCAAATATTGAGGGTGCGAGCGAGTTAGTGCACTGAGGGTGAAATCAAACTCAGACTCAAACTCAAAAAATACAAAAATTAGTCTTTTCATTTTATTATTTTTGTTTCTAATTTTTTTAAAAATGATAAATGATAAAATAAAAATACTATTATTATCGAATTAACCTTATTTTTTTATGTAAGACATGGACAAAAGACTCGACAGAATAATCAATTTAAATTATCAAAACGGACCTTTAGTGAGTGCCCTTAGACTTAAACAATGAAGTTTAAAATTGAAGAAAAAAAAGAAAAAAAAAAAAAAAAAAAAAAAACTAATCCTAACTTTAATTTTGACTCTGTTTCTTCCAATTATGAGTGTACACAGTTTAATTTGGTTAGTGTTGAAGGCATATTTAGTATTGAATTGATCTTTTTAGTTTTTATGATTGAGAAATCAATGCAGACCGTATGCTATGATTTGATTTTGTCAGTTTGATATAGAATAGAAATTTACATGAGTTTTTAAAAGGTTTTATAGCAGATTATAAAATTTGACATTGAAAATAGATAAAGAAAATATATGAAAATTGCTCTAAATGTTTTTTCCCTAGTTTTTAACACAAAAATGTATTATATTAATTTATCATATAATGTTTAATAAATTATAATATAAAATATTTAAATATAATATTTAATTAATTTAATTTGTATCAATATACAAAATTTTAAAACAAAAGCAACTTATATCTTCCAAAAAAAACAGACCAAAAAATTGAAATTTCAATCGATTTGAATCAGAAGTAGGTTGGCTTTTTGGCTTTTTGGCTTTTTTGGCTATTTTAGCCTGGGCTAAAAAGCTTGGTTTGGGAAGGACTTTTTGACTTTTTGGCTTTTTTGACTTTTTTTGTGAGAGAAGAATGTAATGATTATAGGTTGGATGTGATGTTTTGTTTGTTATGACTAAAATAGCCTATTTTATTTTTTGTGACTAAAATAACCAAAAAAGCAAAATCATCTTGCCAAACAGAGGCTCAATTAGCTTAATTCGATCGATTTTTCTGGCGAGTAATGCTATAGACCCCAAATATTCTACTACAAGTTTTACCAAATGTCTCACATGGGTGTGGGACCCACACAATGTGGGTCCCATGTGAATCCCACACCCATATGAGACATTTGGTAAAACTTTTGGTAGAATTTTTAGGACCTCTAGCATTTTTGTTTTCTGGCATCCCTGCTTTCAATGTTTCTCACTTTAGCATTTAAAACATAAATAATTCTTCAAAACATTTGGCACTTTTCAAGCCGGCACTGCACATGTCATCGAACATAGTCCCAATTCAATGCATCTCACTTTAAAATCAAATCCTGACCGTCAGATCATAAATCAATCCCACGGACAAAACAAGCCCACGCTTCACACCCACCAGCCTTTGATTAACTCACCTCCATATGGCTCCTAGACCTCCACGCTCACCCATTCTTAACCGTCCGATGACAACTGATCCAACGGTTTCTGTAATCGCACCACTCGTGCATTCTGTGCTCACAGTAACATTAATATCCCGCTCCTTTTCCCTCTTACCAAACAGCAGAGAGAAAAAAAAAAAAAAAGATCCCACATTCCCTTCCATCTCTATCCTCTTTCTCTCTCTACTCTCTCTCTACACTTTTTTTTTTTGTGTGTGTGGGTTCTGTGAAGGTGAAATGCAAGAACAAGCAACGAGTTCCATTGCAGCTAGCTCTCTACCTTCGAGCAGCGAAAGATCTTCCAGCTCTGCTCTTCAGCTTGAAGTGAAAGAAGGTTTTATTTTCACTTTTTTTTTCTCTCAAATTTCGATTGGAAATTCATGGAATTTGTGAATTTGGCTTCTGGGTTTTGAAGATTTGTGAATTTTCTCATCTGGGTTGGTGGATTTTCTCGAGAAAGTTGATTTCAGATGAAGATCTTCAGATTAGAACATAATGTATTTTTTTTCTTCCTGATTTTGGGTTTTTGTTTTTTGGAGGAATGGAGAGTGATGATGAGATCAGGAGAGTGCCGGAGATCGGCGGAGTCGCCCCCAGAGGGTCGGTGTCTTTCAGGGAAACCGGTTCGACGGCCGGTCCGGACCGGGTCCAGGCATCTTCAGAGGGGATGAGGAAGAGAGGAAGAAGTCCGGCTGACAAGGAAAACAAGCGGCTCAAAAGGTAAACCGAACCGGAGTTTTTAGATCTTTATTTACCACACCTGACCTGGATGTTCCACGTCAGCATCTGGGGCCACTTAAAGTTTGTTCATCTGACGTGGCATGATTTGGGTGGGGGCACCCAGGGATAAATCGATTCTAGAAAGTTTTTATTACTCACATATTTTTTTTAAAAATGTCTAATTTTATAATTAATCTCCATAGGAATAGAATTACTTATATAAAGTGGTATCGTGTGAGACCCGCATCCTTTGAGTGTAATCTAAAGAAACTTTGGCTGTGGTTGGTTTGTTTTTTAAATCATAATTTTAAAAGTAAAATTTTTAAATCATTTTTTAGAATTTATAACCTAAGTTATCATTCAAAATTATTCAAAATTTAATTTAAAAATTTCTTTCAAAATTCATAATCAAATACACAAATTAAAATTCAATTCAAAATTCAAAACTAAATTCTTTTCATAATTCTATTTTAAAAGAAAAAATTTTAAAAAATATTTTTATTTTATTTTTTAAAACTATTTTTAGAACCATGATTTAAGTGTGTAGTTGTGTTTTGAATTATGAGTTTTAAATTGAATTTGTTTAGTTATGAGTTTTGAGTTGTATTTTGAGTTTTAAGTTGTATTTTGAAATTTTCTTAATTTTATTTTTTTAGGATAAATGTTTTATATTTTAAATATTTATTTATTTATTTTAATGTGCATTATATTTCATACATTTATGTGTTGTATTTTTTTAATTTAAATTTATTTTTTATTTTAAATATGTAATTTTTATTTTAAATGTTTTAATTTTTGTTATGTGTATAGTTGTTGATTGAAGTATAAAATTTTGAATGTAATGTGAAGTTTCGAGTTATATGTTTAGTTTTGAGTTTTTAAAATAATTTTTTAATTGAATTTTGAGTTGAAAAATGCGTGGTACTCGAAATGTGTGGTCGTTCATTTTTTCTTTTTTTTTTTTTTTTTCTTTTTGTTTCTTCCTTTTCTTCTTCTTCTTCTTCGTTGAAACCAGAAGAAGAACAGAGGGGAAGAGGAGAGAGGGAGCCTCCGCTGCCTTCGTCCGCCGTCCTCGTCGCGAGGAGCTCGTCACCTCCGCCCGCCGTCCTCGTCGCAGCTCGCAGCTCGTTCGTCGCCTCTGTCCACCGTCGCAGCTCGCAGCTCGTCGGCTCCGCCCGATCGTGCCTCCGCCCCCCTCCTCTGCCTCCAGCCCTAATAATTGGGCCCCCTCTAGTCCTTCTCCTCCTTCCTCCTCCTCCTCTTTTTTCTTCCCCCTAATTTCGAGTCAAATTCAAACCCTTATATTCGAGCTACCAACCGGGGTTGTTTGAGTTATATGCTTGGTTACGATTTGAGTTTGAAGTTGTAATTAAGTTTAAAATATTTACAAAATAAAATAAAAGAATTAAAAATATTTAAATAAAAATTATATATTTAAAATTTTAAAAAAAAATTCTTAAACATTTTTTAATATTTGAAAAAAATAAATCCAAAAAATTCAAAATACAACTCAAAACTTTTTTCAAAAGTCAAAACTCTTTACAAAATTCAAAATTCAAAACTTGTTTTCAAAACTTCTTTCAAAACACAAATTTTTTTTTTCAAAATTCAAAATTCAAATTTCAAAAAAAAAAATTCAAAACACTTTAACTCAATTTTCAATTTTACACTCAAATCACAACTCTAAAAGAGAATCACAATTTCAAAATTAAATCAAATGCAACTTTTGTTTTTTTAAAGTAATAATCAAAAGATTGGTATAGTGGAGGAGAATTTTTTTATTATTATTATTGTTATGAATGAAATGATTTTTTTAATTTAAATCATGTATTCATATAATTTTCCTCAACTAATTACAAAAAAATAAAAATAAAATACTAATAATGATAAATAAACAAAAATAAAAATTCTCAATTAGTCCTTCTAAGGTTATTTGATAGGAAGAATGTACGCTTAATTGCGTGGGGCCATCTAAATACAGACACCCATGGGATTTAGGGTTGTTTTGGGAAAATGGTAAAAAGTGGCTTTTTGGCTTTTAACCAAGCTTTTGGCTTTTTTAGACAAATGATTTGGGAAGTTGGTAAAAAGTGACTTTTGACTTTTTTGATTAATATTTGTTTATGATGTCAAATCATAATAAAATGACTAAACTACCCCCATTTATTTAAAATATTTACAACTGAACCTATGTAACACATTGTGACCCATGAGGGGTAAAATTGTAATTTCACCGTTGGCTAAAAACCAACTTGCCAAATGAAAAAAAAAGCCAAAAAAGCCAACTTTTGGCTTTTGCTACTAACCAAAAAAAGTGGCTTTTAGCCAAGTTTCCAAAATAGCCCTGTGTATTTGGCCATTATTTTATGAGCATCAAATAATTCTTTTATTTTTTAAAATCTCTTAGTTTTTTATTTAAAAAAAAAAATGCCTAAAACACACACACACACACACACATCAACGTTGAACACTTTTAATGAGAAAGGGGGATATAAAATTTTAAAAATTAGTAAATAGAAAGGATAAGGGGGTATTTTGGGAAGTGAGTTTTCCTAGGAAAAAATTTGAAAAAATCTATTTCCACACACCAAGTTTTCTTACTCCACACATTTAATGATTTTTTTTAAAATCATAATTTATCCTTTTAACAACAAAAAGGTAAATTATCAACAGGTCTTAATAGTTGGACTTAATTCCCATCAAGTCCTATTGAAAATAAATCTTCGTAAAATTGTCGCTAAAAATAATTTTTTATGACAATTTTTTTATATATGCCGCTAAAAATTGACAATTGGTGACTTTTTTTGTCATGATTTTTATAAATTATCGCTAAAACTTACAATTAGTGATTTTTTTATGACAAATTTTTCTTATATGACCTATTAGACAATAAGTCCACTTATTATAATCTACACGCAAGTATCCCTTAATAAAATTACCATTTCACCCACAATCATCTCATCCATACATCTCAGAATTTCTCCATACACGTTTCATCCACCATTATCTCAAATATAGAGTTTAAAATATTTTTTTTGCAAAATTTGTACTTTCTAAATGTATTTAGATTAAATAGATCTAAAAATATTAACAAAATTGATAAAAGTATTAAAAACTTTATTAAAATTTCAAAAATACAAATTAAAATGGATTCAATCACAAAAAAAAAAAAAAAAAAAAAAATTGATATTTGGTCACCCGAAAAATGAAATTGAATCATGCTTGTATGCTTACCTAATTTATTAGAAGGTTATACATTTTCAACATGTACCTGTCAATTCTTTGTTTTTTTTTTCTTTTTTTTCCTTTCATTTTTCATGATTGAATCCCATTTTTAGCAAAACAAGAAAGGGTAAGAAAAAGAGACGATCAAAATTCAATTTTCAAATCTATTTCCTCCCTAAATATTAATTCTCCAAAATTTATAATCCGTGGTTGCATCATGTTCTTTGCAAGATGAAAGAGATGATGCAATTATCCAGAATAGCCTACAAAGAAAAACTTGTAGCAGTCATAAGAAAGAAGACAACTTCTATGTCAAGGCCAGAGAAATTAACCTTAGAAACAGTAAAAATAAAAGAGTCCGTTGTAATACCAGTCTTTTGCGCCTCTTGCGCCTCAAGATCAATTTCTCCGTACACATCTCTGGCGAACCTTGGTTCTTGCACTAGGCCTAAGCGACATGGTTGTTGTTTGTCTTCTTCACTCTAACTCTCAACCCCTAAGACATTGTATCCAAATCCAAATCTATATATATATATATATATATGTATCTATGAGACAAAATCGAATAATCGATGAGGTTAATCACACTTGAACCTTGTGTGTGTGAGAGAGAGAGAGAGAGTTGGGATTTTGGAGGGGAGAAGATCGCGATGGAGTTGACGGCAGTATGAGGGTTTGTGTGAAAGTGGCTTAGAGGCTGGGAAGGGGCAATGGTTGATGTCGTCGTTGCCGCCGTCGCCGATAACTGGTATAGTTAGGGTTAAGGTTTTTAGAAGGAGAAAGGGAAGGAAATGATGTGCACAGCGAAAGTAAGGATATATTTGGAATGTGAAGTGTGTGGACTGAAATAAAGAAATAAAAATCAAATTACTACATATGTGAATTGAGAAAAGATGTACACAGAGATAATTTGGTATGTGGAAATAGAATTTCCCAAAATTTTGACTCCGTTTGGTGGAGCTTTCAAAATATGATTCTACACTCGCTTTTGAGTGTGGTGTTTGTTTAGCATTTTCAAAAATTATTTCCACACCCCTTTTCTTCTCTATTCACATCATATCTCAATTCAAACACTTATAAAAATAATTATATGTTATTATTCTCATTCAACACATCACATATTCCAATTATAATCTTAGGTCACATTTTGTACACACACCCCCTAAATAGGTTTTTAACACTTTTAAACCTTTCAAACCCTTCAGACTCAACTTTTCCACATACACCCATGGCAACAAACCACAACAACTCCATTGAAGACCCTCCTAACAAAACACAACTCCATTAAAGACCTACTCCATTTCATTGTTGAGTAAAACAAGAACTAATTGAAATAAAAAACTTGAAGATGAGAACAAGAAATAGGGTTAATTTGGGTGTTTATTATACCATTGCTTCAATTTCGGTGAGTTGATGAATGACAATCCATAACAAAGCAACAAAATCTAAATCCATCTAAATCTAAAGCAACAATACAACACCTTCAAACCCATCTAAATAGCATCACCCAGCTTTGTTTCTTGAATCTTGGTAAGTAAAAGCAACAAAATCTGTATATAATGTCTAATATTAATTTCATAAGAACAATTGAGTAACGGATAGAGTGTAACAATGGAGTGTAGTAAGTAATGGAAGACAATAGACGAAGTGAGAAAATAATGGAAAAATTAGGTTTTAGATTTTGTTTTTTTTAAAATGTATACGGAGAAAATTTGGATTTAATTTGTAGTGTGTATTGATGTCTATTATGATCATTTTACTTCATGGTAAAATGGTCATTAATTTTTTTTTTCATGAAGTGTGTGCATAGAGACCAAAAGACGTGTGAAAATAGAATTTCCCATTTCCCAGCTTTTAACCTATTTCATCTCTCTCTCTCTCTCTCTCTCTCTCAAAAAAAAGCCAAAAAATTAATTTTTAATCATCTTTCCAAAACACTTCTAAGTCTAATGTCCTAGATTTTTTGGGTAATATTTGTATTGGGAAAATTAAATTGATGTTGTGTAGGGTCTAAATAAAAATAAATCTAAGTTATAGATCAATATTTCTGAGTAAAATTCAAAATAAAATTTTTGAATTCGTAATATCACTAAGATAGAAAATGTTCAAATCCAACAAATAATTTAGGACTATTTTTGGAAAATGATTTTAACTTTTAATTCATTTTGAATCATATCATTTCTTATATTTTTTTCTTTATTTTTTATATATTTTAAAAAAAATAAAAAAATTAATTTTTAATCATCTTTTCAAAATTGGATGGACAAATTGTGGCGATAAATAGAAGGGACCCATGTGATCATGTGGCAGTTAGCCGTTTGACCAGTGTTCCAAGAACACGAAATAATATTTCATTTCTTAACCGATCACCGGCGATGTCGAATGGCATTTTTGTAATTATGTGTTTTGGTTTGCGGGAAATAGGTTGCTGAGGAACAGGGTATCAGCACAACAAGCAAGGGAAAGGAAGAAGGCATACCTAACAGAGTTGGAGGGTAGGGTTAAAGACTTGGAAAAGAAGAACTCTGAGCTTGATGAGAGGGTCTCCACGTTGCAGAATGAAAACCAGATGCTTAGACATGTATGTGTCTTTTTCTCTCTTTCTCTCTGCCTCTCTCACTCTCATCATGCCATGACATCATTTTAATTTATTGTCCCACAACAATCATCATGATTATTTAAGAGTTTGCTTTTGGTTTTTAGAAAGGTCAGCTTATCTCAGGTTGAGATCAAGATTGGACCATCCAATTCAGTCCATGAGTCAATTTTTGGGCTCTATTTTGATAATTTAAACTGTTAAATGTATAGAATTCGCCAAATATTATATTTGTGTAAAAAATCACATTGATTAGATATCGATAGCTATTTGATCGGATCAGATTTGCGTTTGTAGTTTATGTTTTTCTAAAAATAAACAAAAAATAAACAAAAATCAATTTATAAAATTTTTGTAAATATAAACTGAAAACGTAAACGTTACCAAACACATGTGTGAATTGAGAAAAGATGTACACAGAGACAATTTGGTATGTGGAAATAGAATTTCCCAAAATTTTGACTCCGTTTGGTGGAGCTTTCAAAATATAATTCCACATTCACTTTTGAGTATGGTGTTTGTTTAGCATTTTCAAAAATTATTTTCACACCCCTTTTCTTCTCTATTCACATCATATCTCAATTCAAACACTTATAAAAATAATTATATGTTATTATTCTCATTCAACACATCACATATTTCAATTATAATCCTAGGTCACATTTTGTACACACACCCCCTAAATAGGTTTTTAACACTTTTAAACCTTTCAAACCCTTCAGACTCAACTTTTCCACATACACCCACGGCAACAAACCACAACAACTCCATTGAAGGCCCTCCTAACAAAACACAACTCCATTAAAGACCTACTCCATTTCATTGTTGAGTAAAACAAGAACTAATTGAAATAAAAAAACTTGAAGATGAGAACGAGAAATAGGGTTAATTTGGGTGTTTATTATACCATTGCTTCAATTTCGGTAAGTTGATGAATGACAATCCATAACAAAGCAACAAAATCTAAATCCATCTAAATCTAAAGCAACAATACAACACCTTCAAATCCATCTAAATAGCATCACCCAGCTTTGTTTCTTGAATCTTGGTAAGTAAAAGCAACAAAATCTGTATATAATGTCTAATATTAATTTCATAAGAACAATTGAGTAATGGATAGAGTGTAACAATGGAGTTTAGTAAGTAATGGAATATAATAGACAAGTGAGAAATAATGGAGAAACTAGGTTTTTGTTATTGTTTTGGTTATGATGAGGATATATATCAGTGTACGAATAGAAAGATGGAGGTTACGGCTCACTTTGTATTTTTCTCTCAATTTTGGCAACTCTTTGATCAAAGTTTCAATGCTCTCTTTTTTTCTCTTCCTCTTTTCATTCAAGACTTAAGCTCTCTTTATATAGGCAATGAAGTGATGACTCTTTGGTGGAGATTGTGGAAGACAATGGACAATGGTGGTGAAAGACAAAGGTTGATGAAGAGTTAATGGAAATATAAAGAAAGTTTAATGGAATGTGCATAACCCTCTCTTATTTGAAGAGCCACTCCTTTTGGTAGGTGGAGGCTGATTCACAATGCAAAAGGTAGCATGCCCTACACGCATTGAACAAGAATTCTGACGAAACTGCCATGTTTTGGACAAATTGGTATGCCGACCAGCCAACTTTTTGGCCTTCGCCTGACTATTTTGCATGAAATAGGATTTTTTGACAGAATTATCATCACGTCCTCCTATTTTCGTACTATTCTTTACTCAATTTCCTAAGAAAACATTTCATTTTAAAGTTTAAAAATGAGTCTTGGAACATTACGAAAATACACAAAACAAAGTGCGAAAAGAAAGTTTCGAAAAAGAGTTTTGAACGGGACTTAAACACATGATCAAAACAGGCTCAGGATTAGGAAGAATGCTCAAATTCCATTTTTCTTATTGAGAATTTTGTGATAAACACATTCTTGTTTTCATCATCGAGTAATCAAAAGAAAGAGTCCAAATTTTAGAGTCGTTCAAAATAGGGTGTCTACACCCCATCCCTCACATGAGAAATTGGGTTCAATTTTCAAAGGTGAGATTTGGGGGTATAAACAGCTTATTAACTTCATGTAAAAAAATATTCTTACAAAAAATTTATATAGAATATGTCACAATAATGATATAGTAGTGATGTCATATATATATATATATATATATTATTAAAAGTAATATTTTTCTTTTACTTAAGTGGCACATTCTAAAGGCTTATTTTGTATAGATAGATAGATAGATAGATAGATATACATATACATACATATATGTATATGTGAAAGAAGAAGCTGCTAGATTGAGGACTAGCTTTAACACTCTGTTTGAATAAAATGTTTATAAAAATGAAGGAAGTTAAAGATTCTTAAAGAAAAAAAAATGAAAGATAGATTGATGAGTTTGAATTTGAAACTCGAAGCCCACATGTCTAAACTGAAAAATATAATGCTTTACTTAGGCTGTGTTTGATTCAGGAATTTGTGGAGGAATTTGAAAATGGAAAGAGAAAAGGAAAATGTGTATGAAATGTAAGTATATTTTATTCACATTTCAAACTCTTCTCTATTTCACATTGCACTTGTGAAATTAGATTCAGAACCACAGGAGTCTGAATTGTA